ATTTAATACCTTCCCAGTATCTCCTCTTGAAATATGAACATTAAGGTGTGTTCTTTGTGATTTGTTCTTCCTCAGGAGTAAAATTCTGCCCTCACACTTTGTTAATGGTACTACTGATGATACACAAGACGAAACAAAGCAGAGTTATTTGCACTAAAAAAAACATTTGCTTTTCTTGGCAGGAAGTAATAATAAAGGAACAAATTAAAATTGGTGATGTCGACTAGTTCCCCATGAAAATTAATAACACAAGGCTCAAAGTACTGATCATCTAAATTGTATATCCATAAAAGGTTTGATTGAACAGAAATTATATTTAGAAAGAGGGAATCTGCTTCTTTCAAACATTGTCTTGGAATTGGATGATTTCTTTAAATGCATTTCACATATAGCTAGAAATTTTGTTCTCTCCTATTTTCAACTGAACTGAAAGCACTTGGATTGTTTGTGAAAATTTGTGTATACATTTTATTACTAGCAGTAGGAATAGAATTCTAGACTTGCCCATCTTTTCCTTCCTTATGTCAATGCTCTGATCATAGGCAACTCTCTCTCACTTTGGAAAACATAGATATTTGGCTACAAGTAATTTTGGTTCTATTGCATAAGTCAATACATTTTTGTGTTAACAGACAACAACACTAAGAACAACACAAAGTTTAATACTGGCAAGAAAAACAAGGCAAACAAACCCAACCTTAGTTAACTCAGTCTTACGATTGCACCTGCACTGCAACTCAATCTTGCTATAGCTGGTAAAGCTTTGAGTTTGGCCTTGCAGGTTGTTTCAGACTCAGCTACATAATTACCACAGATTTCCACAAACTGTTAAGTTCCTTATAAATAACTTGTTCTTATAAGGTGGTTAAACAGATGCTCTGAACAAGCTGCAATGGGTTTGTCAAATTCATTTTGGTGGGGCTGCCATACACTGTTGCCTGAAGGAGTGTCACAGATTGACGTTAATCTTGAGCACATGGATGAAGAGAGGAGGGGGCAGATTTGTGGCTGGGCTGAAAAGTAACTACCTTGACCGCATATGTAGATCAAATTATTCTGCAGTGAGCATAGCCCAAGTAGATTAAGAAAATACAGAACATTCAACAGTCTCACCAGTAACAGAAAACTCCAAAATAAAACTCTATAGGACAGGTGGAAACTAATTTTGTGGCAACTCTATTGGAAAAGGGCTCCCTTAGCAGTTTAGCTACACAGCCACTTGATGCTCTAGAGAACAGGGAGCTGCTAAAGGAGCAGGCAGTGGTGCTCTTTGACATCAAATTCTTATTTTTTCTTTTGCCTAGTATTTCATTTGAAAAAAATTCACTAACTGTGAACAAAGAATAAGAGATATTAGTAAGAAGTGAGTGAGCTCTTTATTTTTAATAGCTACCAATGCATTTTTTTCTGACTTGTCCAATCATTTCCAATTCCTTACAAAATTCAAACATTCTTAATATCCTTGGAAGGAACTCCACAGTGCTTAACTTTTCATTTCCAGCCTGCATGTTGCTGCCTGTGTCTCATTTTATATTCTCAGACTGATATCCTCCTCTAGACAAAATACCTATGCTTCCTCACTGCTGCTTAGCTATCTCTATTAAGCTTTTATTTGGTGGAATCCTGAAATTAGGTTGCATCAAATCAGTGCAGAATAGAAATAACCAAGATGTTTTAATGAGGTACTTAAATAGCAAAAGCAGTGCAGCACCCTCTCTCAGTTCAGGAGGATAAATTAGCCCAAGTGAAGTGCAACACAGATAGAAAATCTTTAGGTAAAAGTACTTAGTACTTTATAAACATATGAAAAGAATGCAATCATCCAGAGCAAAATCTATCAACGTTTGCTACATTGCGGTCAGATCACAGCATTGATTCTTTCTTCACATCCATCAGCAAACAAGCATTAATATCATGCAATGTCTTTAAAATCATGCAGTGTTGTAAACTCTCTGGAGGATTCCCTAAAGGAATCCTTGCCACATGCCAGCAGCCTTGCTTCTATGTACTGATGTTGGGCTGCCCTTGCATTTGAGCAGTCTGCCAAATATGCATCTGCATAAGGACTGTGACAACAAACACACACCTGACATGTGCCCTAATACATCAGGTAATTCATCTCATTATGTCAGTCAAATTTAGCTTCAATATTTCCTAATTCCTATAATCAAAGAGACTAGAGTGCCTGAAGGGGGGTCCCTGAGTGGCAGGTCAGGAAACTGTACAGACTGCTGTGATTGAGATGCTACCTGAATTACAGTCTCTCCCAAAATTGTTTTTCTGAGGTGCTCATTAGCTCTATCCACAAACACATATTCAAAAATCACTTTAGAAGAGAATAAAAAGCATGTTCCAAAAATAATCTTCCATAAGATAATCTGCCTTTCTTTCTGGACCTACCAGAAAGGGTAAGTATGTTTTAGCAACCTGTATAAGTACACTGAGATGGTCTCTTTTTTTCTTAAACTACTGCTTTCTCCTTATTCTTCAAAGCAACCAGACCAAGCAGATCTCTGTATTCCCAGGTAAGGAATATCAGATTTCCCAAAGCAACAAAGTGGTTAGGGTGTTTGCTCTAGTTGGCACAATGTGAGATTAGCTTTACATTTCTGAAACGTCAAGGGAAATCCTATAAAAATGAAATTTTGAAAATATCAACCCTGTTCACGTGTATGCAGAAATGTGGGGAATGTTCTGTAAAACTCTTTATTTATTTATTTATTTATTGCTGCCTGTTTAGATTGGAATGTCTAAAGATTTGTCCTTTTGCAGGGCAACAAAAGAAAGGGATGCAGAGGGAAGTGCTTTTATGACATGAATTCCATGACTACTTAGCTTTTTGTTTTATTCACGGACACATCTTGAAATCTCAGTTTGTAATAAACTTGTTCTTTCAGAAACTTGTCTAACTAGCAGTAATCAATCACTTATATATTCACTTAATCATTTACTTCATTAGTCCCACCAAATATCACGTAACTTCAAATTTATGTATGTAATGCTGAACACAACTGAGTTAGTTAGAAAACAAACAAATCACACAGGAGATGTCCTACTATTATGAATATTGCTATGCTAAGAGCATTCAAGGAAAAGAAAATCAGCATGAACTTAGAGAAACAAGATCTTTTTATCAACATGAGCTAAAAGGTTGACAAAGCTATAAAAAACTTTTAATATTCAGCCAAGTGTTGCTATACCTGGCAAGAAACTATAATTTTAATGTATAAAACAAACTGGAACATGCTCAACTATTACTTTATCCTATGTAATTTCTATCTGCCTTAATGGTAAGACGTGTGTTTTCAAAATCAGAAGGATTCTGATTGAACAGATTGAAATTAAGAGGGACCTCTTCAAAATCAAGATGTAAATTGAAAATTTGCTATAGAACTGAGCCTTCTGAAATTCAAACTGATATTCTGTTTCTTGAAATAATAATAATAAAAAGAACAGCGTAATTTATTTGCATTCATAAATGTCATTTATTTTCATAACTGTCTAATTATTAACAACAAATGAAGATAAGATTTGAAGATACTTCTCCGCCTATTATAGTCCAACCTCTTCTTTAGATGTTGCTAAAGCAGGATCTATCATATTTATGTAGTAGATTTAACTAGGATCTGTACACTGGGACGTATTTTTTTAAGATCACACACTCCTTTTCTAGTAACTCCTTTTCTAGTCTACAACACATCACCAGTAGATTGCCTCAAGGCAAAGACAGCTTTTTGCAGTGAGTAAACTTAGCTGAGGTGTGTAGAATTGAGTGACAACTGTTCGTTAGCAGGAAAGTTTATTCAGGAGATATCTACCTCCCATTCCTTTCAATGTACATATCCACATATTTGCACACAATGTGCGCACATCTGAATTAAGTACAGAACTGTGTACATATATGCACAGAATTATAAAAAACAGCAAAGAAGTGATGAAAACCTTTTTTGGGGAAGGCAGCTGTTTACATTGGCATATTTCTCTGGAAAAAAAAAAATCCTGGGGAAAAGGAGGAACATGCCCTGGATCAGCTGAAATCCAAATCCTGTTTCTAATTGATTCTAAAAGATGACTGCCAGTGCACTTTTCACAAATTAAAACCACAGCCCATCATAGTAACATAACTATTAGAAAAGCATTGAGTAGAATTAGTCTTGTATCACTTTTAATGGGATGGCAGAAAGAATACTGTTTCAAAAATAGAAAGACCAAATAATACATTTCCCCTTCATTCACAGATCCTGACACTTGGAGTTTATCAAAGGGAAAATCTTCAGAGAAGACCATTTTAAAAATGCTTGCAAAACATTTGTATTATATCACTTTGTATTGCAAAACTTTGCAGGTGTCTCTATGAGCTGGTAGCTCTCAAGGTTTTTCAAATGAATCATCAGGAAGAGAATCTTCCTTTGCTGTAATATTAAACCTCAAGTGTAACTCTACTGACTTTTGTCTCCCATCCATTTCAACAACATATTTGTTCTATCCATTAGGTGTATCTTAACTGAGCCAACAATACTACATACAATACAATGCAGCTGGGACTACTGGAATTGCTGAGCAATAACAGTAAAATGAGATTTATGGTACCTACACGAGTTATTGGTGTATGGTGCCTACACCAATAACTGGTGTATGAGCTTGTCCCCAGGGGTGCACAAGATAGGGATATTTCTTTTCTTGATTACATGTCATTTGATTTCCTAGATCAACATAGCCCAGACTGGCATGAATACGAAATTGTGACTGTAATATCTGAAGTATCAGCTAAAAAGTACTGGTACTGGCTGAAACAACAGAATAAATCTACAGAAAATTTAATGATGACTCCATGCCAGGAATGCTAGAGAAGAAACAAAAAATTCCCTGTGTATTTAAGCAAAGTTAACATCCTCTCAACTGGTTGTGTAACAGATGAACAAACTGACAGAAACTAAAAATACGCTTATACTTCTACACATTACTTACATACAATAATAAAGCATCAAAGCAGTACTCACAGCTAGAGAATATCAATGGACATGAGTGTTCATCCATCGGGAAATTATGTAGTTGCAGCTGGCATTCAGCATTGATGGTAAGCCTGTGGAGAAACCATCTATCTGTCACTATACATCAGCACAAGGAAAGGTTAAAAGGAGCCACTTAGACAACCTTAGGTAATCTTCCAAAAGAACTTTGACATCTTTAAGTAAGGCCTTCAAGCAAAAGACTGCATGTACAGATTGTTTATTGGTTATTTAGGCCTAATTTAAAACAATGTAAACTATTTTAAAGAAACAAAAACAAATAAGCAAAAACAAGTATATCCTTAAAGTTTCCTGATCCCCCCCAAATCTGTGCAAATGTCCTTTTCTATTTCTAAATGATATGGGATGGAAATAACTGTTCTTTAGAAAAATAACAGGAAATGGCTCATGTGGTTTTTAATTCCAATGAAATATAGATAATCTTATAAGGAACCTTCCCTGCATTTACTTACTCGGTGAAATTAAAATTCTTTCCATCATTTTGGGGTACCTCTCAAAAGCTTTTTAAGTCTCTACATGTCATTCTCTCCTGAGTAACACAGACATAAGAAATAAATGACCCACTCACACAGAGCAGCAGAAATGTCTTCATCCCCATTTGAAGGCTTGTTTTACATGGTTTCCTAACGCAAGCCACACTTTGAATGGAGCTGATTTAAAAATGGCTATTAGAAACAGATAGACTTCAGTCTGAAAGATTACAGAGTCAATCTATCCGTTGATTGCAACAAGCACTAGCTTATTAACTAGACCACTGCAAGTCTGTAGTGGTCAGGAAACCAGATGCTATTAACTTTGTGCCTGAGTTCATGCAACAAGTATGGGCTGTAAGTGATGGTGGTGGTGGTAGTGGTGGGCTTCAGTCTTTTTAAATCCAAAACTAAGAAACTGGATCTGGAAAGGTGCCTCAAATGCAGGATGACAACCTTAGAAAACCTCTGTCTTGGAAAGCTCACTTGTGAGAAGCTGACCAGCATTTTTGTACTGGCCCTAGAACATGATCTCAGGTGTTACAGCAGGAACAAATTCATGCCCAAAAGAAGCCAGGGAAGAGGAGATAAAGGCAAGTAGCCTGAGCTAACTTTGCACACTTTCCCCTGAATATAAGATGTTTATGACACATTATAGAAACTGCACATATAGTAGTTACCATTCCCATGTTATATTGATAATATATGGTAATATAAAGCAGAAAATTATTTATTTTTGAATCACACGGTATTATTGATGAAAAAATGAATACTCTTCTTCTTATGAGAAAAGGAGGCTGAGCTGAGGGGGAAAAAATGATTCAAAACGTCTTTCACACATTCATCATGCTCATTCTTACAATCCACTGGGTCAAATATAATTCAATTTTTATCTGTTTAAATAAAACAAACAAAGTTTTTTTAGTGATGGGTATGCAAATCTATCATTAGGTAGATACGTAGAAATCTACTCGCCTAGAAATACGGAACGAGACCTGATTTAAAAACAGAAAAGGAAAAAAGAACAAGAGAGGATTAAGGCTGTAATCTTAATGACCAAAATCTTTATCCAAAGGCTACTGGCATGAGCAAGAGCTCTACCACTCAAGTCAGTGGAGCAAGACTAAGAAGAGAAGGACACTAAAAATGTCAGCAGGCATTTCCAACTGTTTAATTCCTTTCTTATTGTTTAACAAAGATTGTCATTGAAGCCCAACTGCAATTTTGAGCATGATAAGTATATGAAATTGCACTCAGAAGGCTGAATAAAATCACTGAAGAAAATGTAGTCTGTAAGAAATATTTCTGAAAATTTTGCTGTGACGAATCTGGTATATGGCAGAAATTTCTTCTGTTCTATTCAGTTTTTCCACTAAGTAAAAACATATTTTGATTTCCATAGGCTCCTTTTTAATGCAAATATATATAGTTTCTCTTATACTATACAGTGGAAGGCATCACAAAGTTTAGAAAGACTCTAAAATCCTCCCATCCACATTTCATCCTTGTCATGAAATGTGACATGCTATCTTTCTGTTCATCTTATCTGAAGAATCATGCATTGACATTAGTGTAAATCAGTCTTGCATCTAAATCTGCTCAGAAAGATTTCTGGCAGTGTTTGTGGGACTGTATGCTTCTGACTTTAACAAATACTAAAACATCTGACACCTACAATTCAGGGAAACATACTATCAGTGCTTAAAGATTTATTTTTTAAAGACAAAGCTTTGTTTTTTAAACTCTGCAGTAGTTATGCCTGAATTTTCAGTAAACATTTGTCAAGCAAAATGACTGTTGTCACTCCAGTCTTCAAAAAGGGCAAGAGGGAGGAACCGGGAACTACAGGTCAATCAGCCTCAACTCCTTCCCTGGAAATGTGGTAGAGCAGCTCATCCTAGAGACCATTTCTAGGCATGTCAAGGGAAGAAGGTGCTCAGGAGTAGTCAGCATGGATTCACTAAGAGGAAGTCATGTTTGACAAACCTGTTAGCCTTCTACGATGGGATGACTGGCTGGATATCCATCCACATGGAATAATGGGAAAGCCAAGGATGTTGTCTACCTTGACTTCAGCAAGGATTTTGATGCAGTCTCCTATAACATCCTCATAGGAAAGCTCTGGAAGTGTGGGCTGGATGAGTGGACAGTGAGGTGAATTGAGAACTGGCTGGATGCCAGAGCCCAGAGGTTAGTGTAAATGGGGCCGAGTCTAGTTGGAGGCTTGCGGCCAGTGGTATCCCGCAGGAGTCAGTACTGGGCCCAATGCTGTTCAACCTGTTCATTGATGACTTGAATGAGAGGACGGAGTACTCCCTCAGCAAGTTTGCAGATGATACACAACTAAGTGGAACGACCGACACTGCTGAGAGCTGTGCTGCCATTCAGAAGCATCTAGACAGGTTGGAGAGTTGGGCAGAGAGGAACCTCATGAGGCTCAACAAGGACAAGTGCAGGGTCCTGCACCTGGGGAGGAATAACCCCAGGCACCAGTACAGATTAGGGGTTGACCTGCTGGAAAGAGGCTCCACAGAAAGGGATTTGGCAGTCCCGGCTGACAACAAGTTAACCATGAGGCAGCAATGTGCCCTCCTGGCCAAGAAGGACAGTTGGATCCTGGCCTGCATCAGGAGAAATGTTGCCAGCAGGTCAAGGGAGGTGATCCTCCTCCTCTACTCAGCTGTGGTGATGCCACACCTGGAGTATTGGGTGCAGTTCTGGGCTCCCCAGTACAAGAGGGACAAGAGCTTCTAGAGAGTGTCCAGTGTAGGGATTAAGATAATTAAAGGACTCTAGCGCCTATCTTATGAGGAAAGACTAAGTGAGCTGGGCCTGTTTATTCTGGAGAATACTGAGAGTAGATCTGATCAATATGTATAAGTACCTAAGGGGTGAATGTAGGGAGGATCGGGCCAAACTCTTCTCGGTGGTGGCCAGTGATAGGACAAGGGGTAATGGGTACAATGGCTACACAGGAAGTTCCATCTCCATACGAGGAAGAACGTCTTTACTGTGAGAGTGATATGGCCTTGGAACAGGCTGCCCAGAGAGGTTGTGGAGTCTCCTTCTCTGGAGATCTTCAGAATTCGCCTGGATGTCACCCTCTGTCAGGTGCTCCAGGTGTCCCTGCTTGAGCAGGGGGGTTGGACTAGATGATCTCTAGAGGTCCCTTCCAACCTTAACCATTCTGTAATTCGGTGATTCTGTGAAGATCAGTAGGCATTAGAAAGGACACAGCAGAGAATAACAGAGAAATCTCTGAAAATGACTAAAGAGGAAAAGATGCCAAACGCTTTCAGCTACATACTTTAACTTCTTACCTGAGGGTATATAAGATTTTCCCATCATTCCATATCCTGAGGAGCTGGTTGGGAGTGGTGATCCAGTGAGCTTCTGCTGTTTTGGAGTTTCGAAATATTGTGTCTGGTATCCAAATCAAACCAACCATGTTGCTGTTTAGAGTCAGTATTTTCATGGTGCTGTTGAAACGAAGACGACTGTCTGTCCATGTTTGGGCAAAAAATATATCAATTTGATATTCCTGCAGTGAAAACATGATATGAAAATTGAAATTTGTTCCATGCTTGTCACTACTACTTGGTCTTTGATAAGACCTATTCATATGCAGAGTGTCAAGATATGTTCAAGCCAACGGAGCTATGTTTTCCTTTTTACCTACCAAGGAACTTAACTTTTAAACTTTTTTGTCCTCCCCCCCCCCTTTTTTTTTCTGTAGTTGCTTTAGAAAAGAGGCCTGGCTTCTCTCGTGCTTCAGCCCTCTCCCCTAACAAATTCTGTTTCAATTGTTTCTGAAAAGTCACAGCTACAAAATACAATTTGCATAGGCTTCTGTGTCTCAGGGCAGAGTGATGAAAGAATTATTTGAGTCTGTGTAGTACAGTGGGTAAATATGAATGGGAGCAATATAAGTACACTGGAGAATTCCTCTGACTTTGGCAATGAATGCCTTTTGCTTGGCTGTTTTGTTGTTGTCGTTGCTGTTTTTTGGGGTTAATTCCAATAAATTTCTTGTTCTGCTTACAATCAACTATTCTTTCCCAAGTTACACTACAGTAGAATTTAATACACCTGTGCACCTGTGAGGCACCTTGTGTACATCGAAAGCTAAGACCTAAGATGCTGTTATTACCATGAATAAGCTACTATCATGGCTTACAGGTCACAAACTAATCCTTTCTCATGTCTACTGCTATAAGGAATCAGTAAGCAGCCAAAATAGATATAATAATGCAGAAGATAAATTATGTATGGACAAACACACAAAACAATATAGGTGAATATGTAAACATGCTGCCTGATTCATAGAATACCCCATACAAGAAACTGTGTTAAAAACAATATTCAAATTGAGAATTGTAGTCCTCAGAAGTCAAACAAAATTTGTGTTTATATTCATCTTGTTTATCTGCCTCTCCCTCTCTCCATACAGCTCAGTAGCTAATACAAGAGTCCTACAGAAACGTATATCTGATCATATCATGAAAGACTCTCTCATAATTGCTGGGCTGACGAATTCATGACAGTGGCAGCTTTTTTTTTTGCTCACATGACACCAAGTTTATGTTATACAATGCATGTTAGCACAGGGGCTGAGGGGAAAATAAAACCTCCTCAGAACCTCTGGTAAATGCCTCTTGATAAAGCTGAACAAAAGATTAGGTTTCTTCAGAAAATCAGGTAGGTCTTGCCTTTGACTGCTCTGAACTTGCTTTAATTGCATTTTTGTATATCTACTTCTAAATCTCCTATTTAAAAGGGAAGATGTAAAAAGAAATACTATTATGTGAACCCTATTTCATGTTGCTTCTGTTGACTCTTAAAAGAGTTCATGATTTGAACTGAGGCCAGGATTTTTACTCTTTTCTGAGAATCATCCAGTTCTGCACTATTACAGTTTTGGCAGGCCGTTCTTCTAGAGCTGATGTTATAATACCAGGAAGCCTAATTTTTTGCTCTAGGCCTCTCATCTCTACATAGCAAATGATCAACAGATATATAAAAGGTGCTAGTGCGTGTCCAAACACCTGGCAATAATAGATCACCTAAGGACTTGAAGTCCAGCCACCAAAGGAATGAAGGATTAGGGTTTTTTTTGTAGCCTGTCTCACTGCCATTTTTCATTGTATTAGCTTTATTTTTTCAGGGACACTGACAGATTGTAATCTGAAGAGCCTTTTTTGTATCTCAATGCTTACAAGGTTGCATGTATTCATACACTTAAATAATGCAGCAATGTACACAGCATACCGTAATTGCTATCTAGCTCTTCATAAATATTAAAAAAGTCAACCCTAGTTGACCAGGTTTAACATAGTAGAGTGCTTATCTCTCTTTATAATGAATCTGTCTCTATTACTTTATCCTTGGAAGTCCAGTGACAAGAGTTAATTTGGCACATTCAGCTGCTATAGAGAGGAGTATGCCAGATATGTTCACGGGTTTTCCAAACACTGGGAAAGTAGAGTTACTTTTTTTTAACTCACACGTAACAACCAGTATTTATAGAATCAAAGACCATTTGTATACATCTGGCTAATGACTGTGTTGTCTTTTCACAGAACAAGTTTTGCATTATATTTATATTTGATGTTATTTTATATGAATGCCTTGACTGTCAAATTATTACTAAGTTTTGGAGCATCTGTAATTCTCTTCTAGTAGATTATCAGTGGCATTGCATTTTCAAAATTTTACCCCTATCTTTTTCACCAAATATATCTACCATATGTGATCAGTGCACATTAATTTTGGCCCCCATATAACACATTTTTCTCACTTTTAATAGCTTTGATTACTAATGGATTCTAAAAATAAACTTATAAAGCATTTTACATGTATAATTCAAAATAACCACTTAGAAATTCATCCAAATGAAAGCTGTATACAGCAGTTTTTACATTCTGCACAAATCTGATTAGATAGGAAAAATGTTTTTTGTAGTGCTATGTGCTATGTTCAAGGACATGATAAATTTAAAAATGTTAAGGAAGTCAAAGAACGAGAATGTGAAACTAGAGAATTAGGTTTCCTAATTTTTCTTCTGGGATTTACCCTTACATGAATGCATTTTTTTATAAATGTCATCACACAATGAGTCAATTTGTTATACTTTCAAGATGTATTGAAAAATATTTAGTATAATTTGAAAATAATACAAGTAACATTGTCACTGAAAATGGCTTCCCATCACCTCCAAAAAGGCTATCTTTGAAAACAGACTTTTAAAATTGAAACTTGACAATGCTCACCTAATTTCCAGGAAGTATCTTCTAAAACCTACTAAAACATTTTATGGTCTTTTCACTGGTACTGTATGAAAATAATTGTCTCGTGGAGAACATTTCTGTGTATTCAAATTTCATAAGCTCTTTTGTAAATTTGAAACATTTGCTGGGAAAAATAATTGAATTAAGAAAAAAGTAACTTTAAAAATTTACTAGAAGGAACTTTTCTTTCTTTATATTTCTGAGTGGGGCAAGAAGCCCATTTCTTTCTCTTGATTTGTGGACAGAGTGACATAAGTTAACAATAGTTAACAATCAGCTGCAAATAATGATATATAGTCACAGCTACATCTATCTGATTTTAGCATATTTTTCACTTTTTTCACTTTCTGAACCTAATGTGGTTTCATTCCTGCCTTGAAAATAATAAAGTTGGCAATGAATTATTTGCTTTTCAATTGTGTAGGAATGATTAATGATTGGAAACACCTTGAAACTTCTATGGTCTGAGGCATTTGTAGCCACAGAGAAAAATACACGCTTTTCAACCAAGCCTTTAACTATTTCTTTATTTGAAAGAGGAGCTAATATACTGTTGACAATACATTAAGTTTTTATCCTACTAAGATGTATTATTTTAGCTTTGAGTTAATCCTGGAAAACACTATTTAATTTGTTGTCTTAGTCAAATGATCTGTTTGAATGACTACAGAAAACAGCATGCGAATGACTTTGCTGCTTGTACTGCCGCTTTCTCATTTTCTGCATTTTCACTGTTCTTCACAACAACAACAGAGAGTCTTACCCTTGGAAATTAAGCTATAATTTGTTTTATGATACTTTTTACATTCTTACTATGGCCTATGTGTCAGTACCACGATAAAACTTCACTTTCCTGTAAGTGATGTACACTTACTTTTTACATTCTTACTATGGCCTATCACACAATGTGTCAGTACCACGATAAAACTTCATTTTCCTGTAAGTGATGTACACCAAAGTGGTAAATTCTACTTGTAATCTGTTCTGTAAATAAATATTAATCTTTCTCTTCATATTCCAAGCAGATGATTGTTTTATAAGAAATATGCTTAAAAAAGAAGGTGGAGCCCTTTATATTCAAATACATAAATGTTAAGTGTGATGGTTTAAAATCAGAACACAGGACAAGGTTGTTAAAGGAAACAGGAGAAAGACGAGAAAAAACTTAGCAATTTAAGCAGAAGAAAAGAAGAGATCCTTTAAAACTGGAAATAGAGCAGTTTAAATTCAGCCTTCAAAAGCTCTCATGTGAAAGTGAACAACTGTAATTCTTGTCAGTCCTTTCCAATTGTTTACTTAAGTCTGGTTCGATCCTTCACAGTTGTTATGCAGTAACTTCAGTGTATGATTTAAGGTAATTTTTTGCTTCAGTTCTCTGAACCCCTCGCTCAGTCCTTGTCCTCAGTGGAAATTTGTTTTCTCTTTCCATTTTAACAACATGGCTCTGAAGTCCTCCCTTTTGACTTGCTCCTCTGCAGAACACAACAGCCTCACAGGAGCGTAAAACTTCTGAACAAGAACATTATTATGAAGGATTTTGAATTTCATTTTCAGTAAAATAATATTTCTTCTAGCCTAATTCAGCACTCCAAGGAAAGTTGAATCAACAACTGATTTTCCTAAACCCTTCAAAGAGCTGTCTGATTGATTCCCCATTCTCTTCAGTTATGTGACAAATGAATGAAATAAAAAGTGCCCCCTGAAATAAGGGATGAGTTTTTCTTTTCCTGAAGCTGAACATTTGCACATTTGATATTAAAACATCAGTAGTTATTCTGGTGGACAGAGCCTACTTCTAGTTTCCATAATCCATGAAAACCCTGGGACTAAATGGACTAAAAGAAGGAGAGAATTGTCCTCTGCTCAGGTAGAATGTCTCTTAATTATTTGATTGTTTGAGGAGGTTCAGGCCAAGCTCATGGCTAGTTTTGATATTCATGGAAATTAATATTCCCACAGAGATTGCTGCATCATGTGCACTGCTTGTTCCACAGACTGCACAGTCTATATGTTATAAACAGACAGGAATCATGGTGATTCCCAGAGAGATGGAATGCTTAAAAGATTACTTTAGCACTGTTTCTTGGCAGGTACTTGCAACTTTAATTCTAATTAAAAAAATTTGTAAGCAACTCTCAGATATCCTATGGGAAGGAAGTGGAAGCAAAGCTAATTTGAAACCTACACTTTCTTTTTGTGCAAATAAACTAAAAATGAATAAATTGAGTCTGCTTGCAAAAACTTGGTAAAATAA